AAAAGTACAGCGGATAGTTTGAGTATATTTTCTACAGACCTTCTTCTAGCGTTCTCAGAAAATAAATCAGTAACAGCAGCATTTTTAGATATAGAGTCCGCTTATGACAATGTTAATTTATTAATCTTAAAACAAAAATTAGAATCGCTACAAATCCCTTTTAATTTTACAAATTTCATTTTCAATCTTTTTACTGAACGAATGGTTACTGTGAGAGTTCCTGGTACTGATAACATCAAGCGATTTTTGTGGAAAGGTGTCCCTCAAGGATCCGTCCTAAGCCCTCTATTGTACGATGTGTATACTAGTGAACTCGAACGCGTTATTGCCCCTTCCTGTTCAATTCTACAATATGCTGATGATGTCTTAGTATACTCAGTTGATAATTGTATTGCTACGGCTTCTTCGACACTAGAAGAATCTCTAAACAACCTATCCCTGTGGTTATCAAAGCATGATTTATCCCTATNACGCCTTTAATTCCTTATTTAACTAAGAAATCATCGCATCGAACATCTCGAAGCAAATTGCATACAAACATAGACTTTAGACGGTTATCATAAAGGTTGTATTCGCACAGCACAAAAGCACTCACCTCTTCAACGGTGTTAATAGTAGACCCTGATCCTTTCTTCGGCGTCTTATTGAGGAGTCCCTTGTTGAAGATGTGCCGCTTGATCGAGTCGCCGAAACTACGCGAGCCTGCCACTTTACCCGTCCTCTGGATTTGGATGGGGGTACCTGAGAAATAAATAAAGACAAGTGTTATTTGACTGGTGACTAGTTGGAGCAGAAACCGCCATAGTTGGTTTAGAGGTGGTCATCAATTTAAATTAAAAATCTGTTGTGATTACAAACTAAACTAAAGGGAGATGTGGCAAGGGGGCGGGGCCGGTGTCGCAGCGATATGCCCAAAAACAGAACACATTGCTCGTGAAAGGAATGATGACAGCAGCGACGTCATAATGTAAACAGTTTACATTGCTTGCGTAGTAGACTAAGAGCTAGTGAACGCCAGACCTACGTTATTTTATAAAGGCTGAAAGTTTGTCAGCGCATGCTCCCAACATAGCTAAGAACCATGGCCAAACATGAAGTTTGGGTCATGGTGGCTTTGGCAGACAGACGGTTCTAAAGGTGTGTAAAATACCAACTTAATTACGTCAAAGTATAAAGGCAGATTTTTTGATATTTCCTTCAAAATGTTATTAGAAATGACGTCATTAATTGACAGACACTTACCATGGTGGCAGCCCTTAGCCAGACACCTTAAAGTTCATGAAAATGTAGTCCTACTTACGTCATACTATAAAAGCTGATATTTACATAAAATATTTGAACTATCATTTGATGAAGTTTCCTCATCAGCCAGACACTTCTGATGGTTCCTTCGCCTTGCCAGACAGCTTTTAGAGTGACTGTGCGACTTATAGTGTACTATTTATAGTGCCTCGCGTTCGCACTTGTTAAAGTGCGAACGCGAGGCACTATAAATATTATTTTTTGTACTTTTTCTTAATTTACTCAAGTATTTGAGTCTGCAAATCATCATCTCATGTTGATGAGCTGATGAGTGAAGGTAAGTATAACTCCTTAAGGCTATAAGACACATTTTAATTTCTTTGTCTGTGAATTTCTAATGCGACACTGAGATTCTAACACAGCGCATTAGCGCGCATCAGTAATAATACAGCAGTAATCATATAATAGGTAAAAAGAAAGTACCACACCCACCTGTCAGTTAGATGTTCTATGTCCACGACACTTCTATCAGTGATGGTCTCATTTAAGTCCACGTCGGGCTACCAGCCTGCCCCTGACATACCCATCTTTGAATCGGTAGCCCTTAGCCCAACATCCATATACAGGGTGTTAGGTAAATGGGTATATGAGCCGACACTAGCCCATGTTAACATGGTCACATAAATGGTATGGTGAAGTCAGAAAAATTATATCTTCATTTTAATTATTTAAATTTTCATACAAATCGGGTTTTATAAAATTTATTTTGTATGAAAATTAAAAAAATTGAAATCATGATATCAAATTTCTGATTTCACCATACCATTTATATGACCATGTTAACATGGGCTAGTGTCGGCTCATATACCCATTTACCTAACACCCTGTATAATAGGCCAGCCCTAATTAGCCTACAAGTAACGCCATAAGCTCACCGTATCCGTTCTGCCGGTTGAAGTGCTTGATGAGGCGGCGCTTGTGGTGCGAGTCGGGCAACGCTTGAATGTGCGCATAAAGCTGCGCCAGCGCCGTGTCCGTTGGATTGCTTTCGTTTTCTGCCCGCGTTCGGTGGCGATCGACGAATGTGTATACTGTGTTCGCTGCGGTCCTGTAATGTGTACAAGATTTTGTTACAAATAGGTCACCGAGCGTTGATTTCAGTAAGTTAACGTCAGGCCACCGAACTTGGTGCGTCGTAAAGAAGTCGTTAAGTCTCAATAAAAAAAGGTTGTAGCTGATTACGCCAGGGCTACGGAGTCCGCTTGGAAATGCTCGGGAGATAACTAATAGTTAGTACTTTAAGAGTAAGACGAAAACAAAGTACGAGTATGTCCGCACCCTATCAGTGATGCTCTCGTCTACATCCACGTCACGTTTTCTTCCGTTCCCACGCGGTGCTGTACTCATCAAATTATACGCGTTCATAACGATCATAAACCAAGTAACCATATCTTTAATGTTTATAGGAGAAAGAAAGTACCAACTCCCACCTGTCAGTGATGCTCTCATCCAAGTCCACGTATAGGGACAGGACTTTCTTCCGCTCGCGCGATTGCGCGTCCGTCACAAACATAACAACAGCAGAATAGCACTCTATTTGTATTGCCTTAAGATAGTAAGTATGTTCGCACCCACCTGTCAGTGATGCTCTCGTCCAAGTCCACATCAGGCGACAGCACTTTCTTCCGCTCGCGCGCTATAACGCACTCATGCGCATACGTCGCAAACATAACAAAAGCAGAGTAACTACCTCTTTTATGTCTATAGGAGGAAGAAAGTACCGACACCCACCTATCAGTGATGCTCTCGTCCAAATCCACATCAGGCGACAGCACTTTCTTCCTTTTCCGCGCCGTGAAGTAAGCGCGCGCGTCATCGCGATCATAACAAATCCAAGTAACTCTTTACATGTATAAAGGAGGAAGAAAGTACCAACACCCACCTGTCAGTGATGCTCTCATCCAAGTCCACATCAGGCGACAGCACTTACTTCCGCTCCCGCGCCGTGAAATACTGCGCATGAGTCCATAACGATCATAACAAATCCAAGAAATTTTACATGTATAAAGGAGGAAGAAAGTACCAACACCCACCTGTCAGTGATGCTCTCGTCCAAGTCCACATCAGGCGACAGCACTTTCTTCCGCTCCCGCGCCGTGAAATACTCATGCGCATCCATAACGATCATAACAAATCCAAGTAATTTTACATGTATAAAGGAGGAAGAAAGTACCAACACCCACCTGTCAGTGATGCTCTCATCCAAGTCCACATCAGGCGACAGCACTTTCTTCCTTTCCCGCGCCGTGAAGTAAGCGCGCGCGTCGGTCGCGAGGCGGGCCGGCGCCGCGAACAGCTGCCCGCAGTGCCGGATCATGAAGCTGATCACCGGCGCTAAAGCTATGGAGTCCGCGTGGAAATGCTCGGAGCATACTAGTAGTTAGTAAGAAGAAAACACACTATGTCTACACCCACCTGTCAGTGATGCTCTCGTCCAAGTCCACATCAGGCGACAGCACTTTCTTCCTTTCCCGCGCCGTGAAGTAAGCGCGCGCGTCGGTCGCGAGGCGGGCCGGCGCCGCGAACAGCTGCCCGCAGTGCCGGATCATGAAGCTGATTACTGGCGCTAGGGCTATGGAGTCCGCGTGGAAATGCTCGGGGATAACTAGCTTGTGGAACCCTGAGTGGTCGCATGAGACCACGGTAACAATTGATTCCTATAGTGTCTCGACTCACTGGTAACTTGAAGGGCTGTTAGTTAGTAAGAAGAAACCTAAGTAAGTATGTCCACACCCACCTATCGAAACTTTCATCCAAGTCCACATCAGGCGACAGGACTTTCCTCCATTACCGCGCCGTAAAAAACTCGTGCGCGTCAGTAGTANTAAAGGTTATATTCGCACAGCACAAAAGCACTCACCTCTTCAACGGTGTTAATAGTAGACCCTGATCCTTTCTTCGGCGTCTTGTTGAGGAGTCCCTTGTTGAAGATGTGCCGCTTGATCGAGTCGCCGAAACTACGCGAGCCTGCCACTTTACCCGTCCTCTGGATTTGGATGGGGGTACCTGAGAAATAAATAAAGACAAGTGTTATTTGACTGGTGACTGGTTGTAGCAGAAACCGCCATAGTTGGTTTAGAGGTGCTCATCAATTTAAATTAAAAATCTGTTGTGATTACAAACTAAACTAAAGGGACATGTGGCAAGGGGGCGGGGCCGGTGGTCGCAGCAATATGCCCAAAAACAGAACACATTGCTCGTGAAATCAATGATGACAGCAGCGACGTCATAATGTAAACAGTTTACATTGCTTGCGTAGTACTAAAGATTATTACAACGTTGAGTACTGATACCGCAGTGGATAATGAGCACACATTTTAATTTCTTTGTGTGTGAATTTCTAATGCGACACTGAGTTTCGAACACAGCGCATTAGCGCGGATCAGTAATAATGCAGCAGTAATCATAATTATAATAGGTAAATAGAAAGTACCACACCCACCGGTCAGTTAGATGTTCTATGTCCACGACACTTCTATCAGTGATGCTCTCATTTAAGTCCACGTCGGGCTACCAGCCTGCCCCTGACATACCCATCTTTGAATCGGTAGCCCTTAGCCCAACATCTTAATCAATTAGGCCAGCCCTAATTAGCCTAGGGGCAGGAAAGTTCTTGAGTGGCGACCACGAGCTGGAAGACGTAGCGTGGGCAGGCCTCCCACTAGGTGGACCGACGATCTGGTGAAGGTCGCGGGAGGTGACTGGATGCAAGCGGCGCAGGACCGGTCTTTGTGGAAATCCTTGGGGGAGGCCTTTGTCCAGCAGTGGACGTCTTTCGGCTGAAACGAACGAAAGAACGATTCTCTCATCCAAGTCCACATCGGGCGACCGCCCCTGACATACCAATCTTTGAATCGGTAGCCCAACATCTTGGGGGGGGGCTCCAAATCATTCTGGCCAGGCTCCCCCCTCTGAAAATTAAGCCTAGAAGTTAAGCCATGAGCTCACCGTATCCGTTCTGGCGGTTGAAGTGCTTGATGAGGCGGCGCTTGTGGTGCGAGTCGGGCAGCGCTTGTATGTGCGCATAAAGCTGCGCCAGCGCCGTGTCCGTTGGATTGCTTTCGTTTTCTGCCCGCGTTCGGTGGCGATCGACGAATGTGTATACCGTATTCGCTGCGGTCCTGGAATTATAATAATAAATAAACTTTATTTCTCTTTCACAGAGGCATGAAAACTTATATCTAGTTTCATTTACATCATACAGCAATATGACCTTTGTGAGAGACTGGTATCTGTACTAGGGTACCAAAGACACGTAATGCGTACAATTTTTTGTTACATATGGGTGCAGGTAGGTTAACGTCAGATGACAGAACTTTCTTCCGCTTGCGCGCCGTAAATAACTTGCGCGCGTCTATAGCGATCATAATAATAAAAGCAGAGTAACTCTCTTTTTGTTTGTAAGCATAAATAGATCATAAGAAGGCTTGAGCCTTCTTAGCGCTCCTGCACACGACGCCGCCACCGCGCCGCCGACGCGCCGTCCCCGCGCCATCAAAGCATAATTTCGCCAGCGGCGCAGCGGCGGCGCGGACGCGGCGCGTATAAACAGTGCAAAGGCGCGGGGGCGGCGCGGTGGCGGCGTCGTGTGCAGGAGCGCTTATGCATAGCCCGCTCCATCGCGACGGATGGATGGCGATGGAGCGGGCTATGCTGAGAGTTTCCCTACGTGATTGAATCAGAAATGTGGAGATAATAAACTGTTAATAAAGTGACAGTGGGCGGGGTCATAAATCGTAGAAAGCAGTTGGGGCAGAAAAGTTCTCGAGTGGCGACCATGGGCCGGACGATTTGGTGAAGGTCGCTGAAAGACCCTGAAAGCGGGCAGCGCAGGATTGGTCGTTATGGAAATCCTTGGACGAGGCCTTTGTTCAGCAGTGGACGTCATTTGGCTGAAACGACGAACGACGACGAAGAATAAAGAATACCGCACCTACCTATCAGTGATGCTTTCATCCAGGTCCACAATGGGCGACAGGACTTTCATCCGCTCCCACGCGTGCGCGTCCGTAGCAAACATAACAGCAGCAGAATAGCACTCTATTTGTATTGCCTTAAGATAGTACCTAAGTTTGTCCGCACCCACCTGTCAGTAATACTCTCATCCAAATCGACGTCAGGCGACAGCACTTTCTTCCTTTCCCGCGCCGCAAAGTACGCGTGCACGCATCAGTAATGATACAGCAGTAGAGTAATCATTTAATGGGGAAAAAGAAAGTACCACACCCGTCTGTCAGTGATGCTCTATGTCCACGACACTTATAGATGACCCACACTGAACTGCCCCACCAAACTCAATGACAGGGGGGCGCTACCATCGTTCAACTAAATGGTTTCCAACATGGCCAATATCGGAACCAGCGATCCGGTATTGACGGTGGCGCCCCGCTGTCAATGTCATGGATAGGACAGTTCATTATACATTAGAACATTACCTATCAGTGATGCTCTCATCCAAGTCCACATCAGGCGACAGCACTTTCTTCCTTTCCCGCGCCGTGAAGTAAGCGCGCGCGTCGGTCGCGAGGCGGGCCGGCGCCGCGAACAGCTGCCCGCAGTGCCGGATCATGAAGTTGATTACCGGCGCTAAAGCTATGGAGTCCGCGTGGAAATGCTCGGGGATAACTAGCTTGTGGAACCCGAGTGGTCGCATGAGACCACGGTAACAATTGATTTCTATAGTGTCTCGACTCACTGGTAACTTGAAGGGCTGTTAGTTAGAAAGAAGAAACCAAAGTAAGTATGTCCACACCCACTTATCGATACTTTCATTCATGTCCACATCAGGCGACAGGACTTTCCTCCATTACCGCGCCGTAAAAAACTCGTGCACGTCAGTAGTAATACCAAAGGCAGAGTAACTAAAGCCCGGTCTGTGAGCACGTAGAATTTTGTCCAATGACCCCTAGCTACCCATCCTTATCGCTCGCGCGTAATTATATTGCTGTCGCGACTGGCACCCGCAGTGAGTGTGCGAGCGCGATAGCAACATAATTACGCGCGAGCGATATGGATGGGTAGCTTGGGGTCATTGGACAAAATTCTACGTTCTCACAGACCAGACTATAGCAGTAAGAAAGTACCAACACCCACCTGTCAGTGATGCTCTCATCCAAGTCCACATCAGGCGACAGCACTTTCTTCCTTTCCCGCGCCTTGAAATACTCATGCACGTCCATAACGATCATAACAAAACCAAATAACCAACTGATTACATGTATAAAGGAGGAAGAAAGTACCAACACCCACCTATCAGTGATGCTCTCATCCAAGTCGACGTCAGGCGACAGCACTTTCTTCCTTTCCCGCGCCGTGAAGTAAGCGCGCGCGTCGGTCGCGAGGCGGGCCGGCGCCGCGAACAGCTGCCCGCAGTGCCGGATCATGAAGCTGATTACCGGCGCTAAAGCTATGGAGTCCGCGTGGAAATGCTCGGGGGATAACTGGAGGAAATAGATAAATTCATTTGGTTATTTCTTGTAATGGGAGGATATGAAAGATATCTAATGTCTTAACAAATAAATCAAATAGCTTTATTTTATACAATACATAGTTTGTAATCTCATTCAAATGGTTATCATTATACTAATTGTGGCACCCTGTATGGGCAAGAGCCTGCTTCATCTCATTTTTATATGAACAAGCAAACTTCTACAGCTGTCGTTGCTAACTCCGCGACATGTCGCGACGACAACAATATGAAATGACGCGCATACGCGTTTTGTGGCCGCGTCTGTCGCCGCGTTTTGTCGCCCAACGTGCGCTGTCACTTAGAGGATATTTAAACTATTTATTTCATGCCAATAACCAAAGTTCTTACAATTACCTACATAGTAATTATTATGTGGACTTGCCAGGTTTTACCACTATGTACTTAAAAGGCAAGAAAAAACAAAAGATAAAATAAAAAAATCACCTTTCTCGGACACAATAAATGCGGTGTGAACATTGTAGCCAAAGTGTCCGGAGACATGCGATTCGACGCTTCATTGTCGGCCACTAGACGAAGTAGTTTGAGCAACCTTTCCAGAAAGTTCCTGTGTGAAGGCGTTAGCAGTAGGAGTAGCAACTGCAGGGCAATCAGGAGTTTGTCTTCTGACGATTCTGCATTTGGTGGGTATTGCGCTGTAACAGACAATCGACTGATCAGAATGACAAAAAAACATTACACATTAAAAAAAAATTTGTTTCTTTGTCCTCTAATTCTACAGAATTTCAACACACTGAAATCATCATGATTCAATCTACTAGATCTCACTGGTCAATATTGAAATGTTTTCATATTATCAAAAATAAGAGGAAAAGCTCATAGTTCTTCCAAAATTAAGAACAAAACAAAATAAACAATAATATTGTCAACTCACTGGCTAAAGTGCAATACGTTTGATAATACTGATCCATCAGGAGTGGTTGCGGTAACTCTGCAAGGAACCCCTTTAGTACTGAAGCACAATCGTGGACCGAAAACTTGCTGTCTTCAAGACCAAGGTTGGTTCCCGTTACCAGTAGCTGCCGTAACTCTTGCTGCCTGCTGAGTGAGCCGGTACGTCGAAATATACCTTCTTGAGTTACATCTGTAGTCAAGAATAATGAGTTATACTTAGGTACTAAAACTTTGATGGAGTTTACACAGCTCTTAAATGGGCATTTCATAAATTAGTCCCATACACTCATTTATCTAATAAATATCTGGTAGGTACTGCCATAAGTAATCTGTATGACATGAACATACATCTTGAAGATTTCAACTAAATGTTCAACTAGTTAAAATAGTAAAAATGAAAGGAATATTACTTTAACAATGATCATTTCAAACCACTTACTCTCTGGCTGAGATAAAAAGTCTATTAGCTCGTTTAGTCTCAAAATTCCTTCTTCTGTGATAGAATTTGCTTCAGCTGTATTTTTTATTGAATTAACATTGTTTTGACTAGATAATGAACTAGGGTTCTTAGTTTTCTTATGAAAATTCCAACGGAATTGCTTTGGTTTATCTGTTGAACAATCAACACTGAAAAAAAACAAGATTGAGCACAATAGTTACCAACAATGAGCAAAGTATGTCTATTAATAGTGACTTAAATACTTACTCGTCCGTGTTTATATCTACAACAAATGATAAATGCATACGAACTAACGTAAAAAATTGGTCTAAATTTTCTTTTCTCAGTCTTTCTATCATTGTTACATCAATAGAAGTCATTTTAATTGAGTAAACACAACCACTTCAGACAACTTAAATAATATCACATTGCACTACATGTCTTCATATTGAATTACATCACAGGGCCTTATTTCTATTCTGCACGGGCGTCTTTCCTGTTTATTTGTTAAAATAGCATAACAATAACCCAAAAATAAAAATCTAACAACTGTTTTTCAAATGTCACATTCTCACAACGGACATTTTATCACGTTCAGAAACCAGTAAAGAAACTTCCAGTTTGACATTTAGCATTTCTGAACTGAACTTATTTCTTTTTTTTTTCATTGTGGCTTCATGCGGTTTGCACATGAGTGGTGGGGTATGGTTTGCAAATAATTATAAAATATAGATTCCTGTGTTTAATGTTTAATAAAAGTAATTTTCGTTAATTTTTTATATAACCAAGTAAAATAATGGTTATTTTATTCGGTCGGGGTATTCTCTTGAGCCCTTAAATTATTTTAGATCCTGTAGTTTTTCAGTTGAATATTGAAGGGGCATAAGGGCTAAGGTAGTGGTTTCGAACGAAAAGTTAGAGGACAAAGACTAGCCACCTATGACTTAACTATACTTTTAAANGGCCTCCCACGCAGTTGCTACACTTTCGACCGTTACTACACACCTAGTCGGGTTCAGAATCATACAATCTAACGATTTTATAGGGTTTTTGCCGTATTGCTATGAGACATGGTTTTGGTCGTGGGCTCTCGTACTATTTTAAACAACAATATGCCTAAGATCTAGATCCCCTAAACCCAGAGATTACTCCTACAACCTCACAAACTTAATTTTTTATCTACATACCTACCTAAGTATTTTACTTGATATTTTTTCATGCCATGGAAGATAATAAAATAAATATAGGTAAATGTAGGTTAATATTACATATTTCCATAATACATTAATAAACATAATATTAAACAAAAACAATAGTTACAGTCATAGATACTATTTAATATGTTTTTAATTACAGTCTTATCTTAATATAATGAGAATGCTATATTTAGAGCCTAAAACATATCATCATGCCCTAAATCAGCAAGCAGGTTCAGCCCCCTTTCTTTTAGGGCTTTTGAGAGTAACTTCTGTTGCTCAATTTTAGCATCTTGTTCCCGTCTCTGAGCATCTAAAATTTCGTCTACTGACACTTCAGTTAGCGGCAAGTTCTTTTCTTTGTCCTGATCCTGGAAATGATAAATAAGAGGAATTAAATTATGTAAGTAATTATTAATCATGTGCTACACACATGCAATAAAAATAACATGACAGCATTAAAATTCAGTACTTTACGTTTTTTTTAATATGGAAGACAAAAATGATTATAGCTAATAATACCATGAATAATACCACTGGTAATTTAACAAGAAGTTATTTTTGCTACTTACGATTTCACCCAAAAGGACGACATTTTCGCCTCTAACAATGAATATTCCCCTTGGAATATCACCATACTCTTTACCAACATGGATCCGTTCAATAGTTTTATGCAAAACTAAATTCGCAAACTGATCGACACAACGCAGATATCCAATCAAGGTCCTCCCATCGCGAAGCAGCACCATGAGTTTCTCTTCATGAAACAATAATTAATTAATGGTAAAAACAGAAAAACAAAGGCAAGAGCACCGGTACAAAGCAAGTAAAACATACTGTCTAGTTCATCCAGTAAATGTGCAGTGCCCGCCAAAGGATTGATGTTATTTTGCATCTTGCAAAAGCTAAAGAGGGCACGTTTGAAAATATTGTTACTTCTACGTTAATATGGACTATTTTTCTGAAAAATATCGCTAAAATAATATTGCGTCCGAGATCCAAACTAAATCTATCAATCGGTGACTGACACTGACAGTCAGCTGCTTGACAGGACACTGTCAGTGAGCAAGCCATGTCCGAAACAAACAAAACTACAAAATAACTTCAGCCGATTATTTTAATGTAATTCATTCTATGTATCACAAACATTACAACAAACCCTAAAAATAAGTCCAGTTATTTATTTTTGCTAATTAATTTCTTGTTTTATGCCTTTTTTAATTATACAGAAAGATGTAAAGTCTAATAGTTTTTTTAAGTAAAAACATTTCGGACAATGAGTTGATGGCAGCGTGTTCCATTACGGAACAAAGTATCTCGATCATTTTTTTGACCTTAATTTCCTATACAAAATTATATGAAAGTGTTATCTTTAGTGCAAGTGTACCAATTTCATACAACATAGAACACGTCGATGAATGAGGAAAATAAAATAATAAAAAAAGTATGGCTGCGTGAAACACGCTGTACCGCTGTCAGAATTATTAAATTGTTTGTGCATTAATTTTCTCTTGTATTCTTTCGAAATACTATTGAAGATTTTTGTGCTATGTTTAATTGTGTTACTTTCGTGCTACAAAGTTACTTAAATCCCGTTCAGCGTAGCATTTAAGATGGATATAGACGACGAGATCAAATCCGGTTGTTTATTGTTTCCACCCGCTGGTGGGAATGTATTTAGCAAATTCCCTAAAAAGGTATGTAAGATTACGCGTTTTAGAATTTACTAATAGTAATTCTATCGCAAAGGGTTACTTAATCAGTTCACTTTTTGAAATAATGCTTCCTGTTGAGGCAAGATGTTATGACACCGTTATTCGCGTTGTTATTGCATTCGGAATGAGTCAGGTATCTACTGGCTCGCACGTTTGCCACCGATAGGTTATGCATTAAAAAGAAATTCATTAGGTTTATTGAGGCATATCAAAAGATATTTGAAAGAAAGAAAGATAACCAATTTGATTAAAAGACCATTTAGAAAAGTTGTTTATAGTTTCATTCATTTATTACCAAAGTATGAGTAGAAACAAATATATTATATCTACAATTTAAATTGTATTTGGTAATTAAAATGAGGAATATGTAGATTCTGTATTACATTATTTCTTGCATGAAAATGTAATAAACGCTGTTGTCTTCTATTTTTCAGAAAACCTGGCAGCAAAAGTATTGCATCCTATACAATGCAAGTAAGCAAGGAATTGAACGATTAGAAATTTATGATCATAAGGAGGATGCCACAACAGCTTCCTCTGCTATTCCTAAGATTATTACTCTTGAAAATTGCATCAAAATAACGCATTCTAGTCCTAATACTATAACGATACTTACTAAGTCCATTACACAGCAGTTAAGTGCCCAGTCAGAAGCAGAGACACTAGAATGGGTCACTGCTCTCCAATCTGTAGCGTTTAGAGGTCGGGATTTGAATCCTATAAGCTGTGATGAAGATAATGATCTATATTGCTCATCTGGAGAAGGAGTCTTCTCTGTTAAAATGTGCACGTCAGAAGCATCGTCAAGATGCGGACTAGAGGCAATTAGATATCTCCTTGTGCTTACAGCCACGGCTATTGAATTAAGAGATGTCAATGATAACAAGCTGTATGCCAACTGGCCTTATAGGTACATCCGGAGATACGGCTACAGGCAGGGAAAGTTCACATTTGAAGCAGGGAGAAAATGTGACACAGGAGAAGGTATCTTCCACTTGGAACATCCAAACCAATCTGAAATCTTCAAGTGTTTGTCATTAAAAATGAAGACAATGAAACAAATGATTGGAAACGACAATTTGAACAGTCCAGAACACAGTGAATTTAACATTCAACCCAGTGCAAACTTGTTCCCAGGATCAAGAAGCCCCTTAGTGGCTGCCAGACCTGATGACTTGAATTTAAGCTCTTTATCATTCAAAACCACATCTGTATCAAGCCAGCAAAGTATTTGTTCGTCTGACAGGGATACAGCTCCATTGCTAATGCCAAAACCAGCTTTAAAACCCAAGCCACAAAAGCCTCCACGCAAGATAATAAATGTCCAGAAAGGTATTATCAAAGATTTGCCAAGTTCAACAGATGAGAGCATAGATTTTGGCAGATACAAAAAGCTTGATAACTATGAGCCAATTGAACAATGCAAAAGAGAAGAGAGTCCACCATCAGTGCCATATGATAAGGTTGAGGTGCGCAGTGAAGCGTGGAAGACATTAGGAATTGATGATCCAGACCACACAGAGTTTACTCCAAATCTTGGGGACAATCCTAACTGTTTGAAACTCATATCAAGGTCTCAAGATAATCTGAATACCACTGGGCCAGAAGCATCAAGAATAATTTTGTTACCTAGCCCAGTGGTAGACCCAGAAGATGAGAACTATGATAGATTACAGTATTTTGGTTCCACAAGCAAATTGAATAAGTCTTCAAGGTATAAAAAGATTGAGGCCCGTCCAACGACTTTAGCTTTAGGGGAACCTAAAAATAAAGACACATGGAATGACTATGATGAGGTGGAGAATGTGATGCAAACAGCAAGGCTTGCAGATGACTCACATTTGGGCTATGGGATGATAAGGAAACCAAATACCCCTGGGCCCCAAGTCCCTACCGCGGCTCAGGCTCAAGCCCTTCAAAATCATGTCGGCCTGGAAGAAGTCAATCATAATAACTGCAATGGAACAGATTATGCTATTGTTAGCCGTCCAAAAAGAGTTTGATGTTTTGATTACAACGAAACTGATATAAAGACTGAATTTTTATGGTAACCATTGGCCCAATTTGGTATGTGCCTACTTAGGCTTTAAAAATATTTTTAAAGGCATTCCATTTTGCTAGTAAATGGAGACGAAATCTATTTTTTTATGTGTGTCAAATTGTTGTTGGTCACTAGAGTGTGTTGTAATCTCTTTAAACATTTTGCAATTTTTGTTTGACAATAAGCAATAATTCCATTAGTAATTTACCAATTTTATAATATTTTTTGAAGATTCATAGAATTTTAAATGAGACTGTATTGCATTCCCATTTTATATCCTACTTATTTTTAGATACTTGTTAGAGATTAGATTTTATAAACTTGTATATTTTATTGATATTATGTACCCAAGTATTTTATTGCTAGGAGATTATGGATATTGTATTACATTGTGATTATATTGTGCCTTATTTTTATATTTTATTTGAATGGGAAACCAAGTAGTTTGTGCCAATATAAAGTTGAGCTAGTTACACCACTTCTATGGTGCTTTATGGTGTTAAGTATTCAGTAAGTTTTACAGTTTTTGCAGGAGTTTGTAGCATTATGATTTATTCCAGTGTTCATACCTGTTTTTTTGGCATATCCACATGATATAAAAACTATTAAAAACAGATAATTTCCTTACCATACACATGTGCCTATTACTCTGTTATAATATGCACATGTGTATGGTAAGGAAATTAATTCTGTAATTAATTTTATAAGAATAACATGAGGTCAATGACTATGACTAAGTCACATTAAAAACCTACATAATTATAAGATTTGTCAGTTTATTGTACCACTGTTATTGTAATCAAGATATTCCATAAGTGCTGTTCCATTATTTGGCCATATTTTATTGTAATCTCTTAAAATGTTAATAAATTACATAATCTTATAAATGTGTTTAATTTTGGTTGAAAGCAAAACAACAAAAGAAGATGAAATTAGTTTATTATTAGATTTTACTGTACAAAAAGTATATCTATGTTTGATATTTGAATGATTGTATAAAACATACATGACATAGTACCTAACAAGTGAGCTAGTAAAACGAGTAGATTACAGATCCCTATATTCCAGTTAAGTCAGTAAATTTACAGAATAATTTCTAGGATCACTTAGCAATTATTTAAAATTGCTGACTACAATAAGATATTTTACTAAAGTAGGTACTGTCAGTTATTCTGTTATTGATATTTATTTCATGAGCCAAATAAAAATAAAAACTTGAAGGTATCATTAATAACCAAGCAACCAAATACTTTAATTAATATTTGTCAAACAAAATATACAAAAATAAATACTGCCTATTAATCCTATTTTAAATAAAAACTATTGCAACAAATTTTTCTCCAGTTCTTGTTTTTCAACTTCTTTTGCTAATTCCATAGCAATAAATTCTAGGTCTGGAGACATGATCTTCTGTACTGTTTCTCCTTTTTCTGCCATGATATCTTCTATATTATTTTTGCCGTTCATATCAGAAAACCAATTCAGGTTATCTGCTATTAGATGCTTGTTTTCGCAGCCGTCACAGTTTACAATTACAACGCCTTTGTAATAAGCTAATTTTGTTATGTACTTCGAGTTTCGAGTGTTGCATTTCTTGCATGTGTACATCAACTGAAACTTGCCTTCAAACTTCTTTGGTTCAGTAGTTAGAGGTACTTCATTGAACTTCGCTGCAGACGTTCCAAATTGCCTTGGAGACTGAATCTTCGGAGTTGAAGTAGAGAATGATGCTGAGGGTACTACCAAACGTCTTCCAAAATATAAATTTCCTTGACTTGGGAAGAAAACCATGCTATTCAGCAAACGCGGTGTGTGGTACTTAACCACAAAGTCGATTAGAGTTCTGTGAGACATTTTTGGATTTAAACGTTAAGTTTTAATAACTAGCTGCTATAAAATTTAGACAAGATTTCGTTAATATTGCATCACAGCAGCACGAAACATGAAAAACACATGAGCAGTCAGATTTGTTTTGACTTTACTTTTTTTTTTGAAGTCATGCGGTGACATTTTTTTTTCTTCAAGTTGACGGCTTTGGAAAAACCTTAAACGGCTTGCAATCCCGTTTGTTCTATGGGTCCGCCGACCATAGGTCCGGTCCGATCATAAAAATTATTTGACATTTAAATAAATATTAATCGAATTCAAAATCTCTATTTACAGCTTACAGCGAAGCACATAATTTTTGCGTTGAACATTTTCTACTTTAATACAATATACATTTATAAAGGATTTGGCGCAACGAAAGTTGAGGCAAACATATATTTTACAGAATATTATGCATTAGAGCTTATAGGCCAGTAGAATTAAACACAAAATTGAATTGAATCGGAAATAATTCCTAAAGAATAACTACTAAAGATTTTAGTGCATTAATGACTTCAAAATCAAGGTCACCTGGCCCACCGACAATAACGATTGAATGTGTAGTGAACAAGTGCCTGTACCTTAACTGTCAGATTATAAAAAAAAAACAGCATAACCTCAAAAACTGGTGTAATTTCACAAAATATTTTTTCTATTTTATTTACCCTAACTAGCTAAAATAAACCTAGCATCCACAAAATTACATAATTCGAAACGTAACATGTAAATAAATCAGTCAATAATAGAGTAGAATAACTTTTCTTTCTGCAAAATGAGTTCTTCATGGCTTACACCAAGTTTAGCTGAAGAAATTATTAAAAACAATGATATATTTAAAGAAACGCATAGCATTATATCAGGTTAGTAATTATACCGTATTTATCTACTGTTCACGTTATAACTCTTACTATTGTGCTGTGTAAAACTACAAATTATGTTCTCATAATTTCTTAAGTGATTCTTTGTATTACAGACATTATGTCTGGGCGCCTCGATGTTGTGCAGCTAGTTGAGAACATGGGTGGAGCCCTAACTAACAAAGAACCCGAAAATCGGGAGAAAGGGATGAGATTTTTTACAAAAATTCTCAAAGAACTTCCGCATGATTTCTTAACGGAGACGCAGATAAATTTCATATCCAAGTTTTATGTTGACCGACTGAAAGACAACCACAGAGTAATTCCAGCCGTTTTAGAAGGTTATTTGGCAATAGTCAACATGGCACATTACAATATCAACAATAGTGGGGAGTTTTTTACTGTTTTGTTCAGAGAAGTGCCCTGCCAGTCACAAGTTAGACAGGACAGATATAATATTTACTGCATAACACAGAATTTAATGGATAAAAACCTAGAATGTAAGTTTTATTTCATCAATCTTTCATGTATGCGTGTTTGTCTTGTTGGTTGTCCTAATAAATAAAATAAAGATAAATAAATTAAAATGACTGTATTTTCTGGAAATATTTGTGATTCCTGTAGAACCCCCATAAATGACTGTTTGTGTGATTAATACTTTGAACAATTTATTTCAGATATAAAATCATTGGGTCCAGATTTCGTATATGGTGTCATATCTGCGATGGACGGAGAAAGAGATCCACGCAATTTGCTGTTCCTTTTCAGTTTCCTATTTACATTTTTAAAAGAAGTACCTTTAGGTCATTTAGTAGATGAAATGTTCGAAGTAATATCTTGTTACTACCCCATTGACTTTCATCCTGCTCCGGACGATCCGGCTCCAGTGACGAGACAAGATTTGGCAAATGCATTATGTCCTTGTCTCTGTGCTGTACCTGAATTTGGAGAACACTGCTTGGTTTTGCTCATTGAAAAACTGGATTCAAGCTTACGATTAGCTAAAATTGATTCGTTAAAACTATTAGTAAGTGAACCATCTTCTCAAAATAGGTTTTATAGTGTATTTATTTATTTTGTATAACAATAATTTAAATGTTTATTATTTGTAATTTCAGAATGAGAGCTGTAAAACATTCAAAGTAGAAACTTATGGGCCGTTCCTAAAAACACTATGGGCTTCCATACACAGAGAGATAACTCACAAAACAGATGAAGAACTCAAGATGGTTGCTCATGAGACATTGTCAGCATTAACTTCTAAATTAGCTACTGCATCCAACACAGACCAGGGTTTTGAGAACTTTCTCAAAGGCATACTGATTTCAATGCAAACAGCAATAGCAGAATCAACCACTGTTGCTCAGTTTGTTCAAGCAACCAAGGTGTTGCTGACAACAGCAAATGCATCAAAAGAATCTTGCGTTATCGTTAATAAGTCTATGATACCTGCTATAGTGGCATATTATGGTTTCAAAACGACACCCAAACTGCAAATCGCCAGCCTAGATTTCCTTGCCGATTTGTATGGATTGGCTGTGCATTGGGAAGTTTTAGATCAAGTGGAATCTGAGGTCAATGAGATCCCGCGTCTGTGCCTAACTGCTGTGAGTCAGCCATCAAAAGAATACCAGATTGCAGGGTTCAAAACTTTAATCAGAGTCCGGAATGCGTTACAAAGTGACCTTGTTTTGCCATTTGTTGAAGTTCTAATACACAACATACAACATTCCCAAGACAAAGACTTGCTGAGTGTTAGTGTTGAAACTGTCCATGCAATTGCTAGAAAATATCCCGAAAATATTATGTGTTTAGTCATAAAAGGGAAGTGCGATTTGGAGAATCTGACCCAAGATAAAGTTGCGTTGGAAAAGCGTTTGAATTTGCTGTCCAACTTGGCCAGTATAGATGATTTTACGAAGATAATCATTGAGGAAATGTTAAAGGTCATTGTTACTAAAGATACGGAAGCGTTTAAAGTTGTAGAGGCTATGAATGAATCTATGTCCAATGCTAGTCTATATTCTAATGAGAAATTATCTGAAATCGAGAGTGATCATGGTCTTATTGATTCTATATTATCTTGGGTCACTTCAGAACTGCATACAGGATCACAGGAGGCTTTGTCGCACGGGTTTATGTTAATAGCTAATACAGTGAGTAGTTTACCAGAAGAGAAGCAACAGAAAATATTGTCAAAGCACACAGAGAATATTCTAGAAAAGTTTAAAAGTGATGAGGCCAATTTTCACTTGGTACACTGCCTGTATAGTTCTGTTCGTCAGGGTGTGTATAATTCTACTTTCGAGGACATAATGACGATGGCACTAACTAAATCGTTAGATAGTAACGATGATATTATTCGGACTAAAGCTTGTGTAATAGTGGCACATTTCTTGAATAAAGCTGAGTATGGTCAGAAGTTCGAACTTTTGTATGAACTGTTGAAGAATTTTCTTTCTAAGGGCAATAGAGAGCAAGCTTTATCATCAAGACTAATAGTTTTGTATGGATGGATAACAAAGGCTTTAATTATGAGAGGAAATGAACTGTTTACATTTTGGCTGCAAAAGGTAAGAAAACTATTTAATTTACTCAATAACAATGTAATTATCACAGTTACTACAACTAGAAAGTTTTATAAATTAATATTTATTGTATTAAATTGCCTAAATCTTATAGAACTAACTAACAAATAAACTAAACTGGTTTATCAAATACGTGATGTATTAGAACTCAATTTATCAGTACCAGTTTAATTACCTTGAACATTAAGATAAGTGCTTCAATTAAGAAGACTTATCTCAATAAACAAGCTAGTTAACGACAATTTCATCATTGTGTGATATGTAAATGTAGTGTGTGTTTAGAATAGGCTAAATGATAAGAAGACCTCTTTTCTTTAAATTGACGCCATTATTTGTCATTTACATTAGCGAATTTTTCATGAAAAATCTAGCGTATTGTCTGCATGACTCGTTAAGCTAAATTCCTTTAGTTGTAATTATGTAAGTGCTATTTTTCAATAAAAATGTCATTGTACTCTACATGTTGATGCCGAAACAACGACTAATAATGTATGGGCACTCAAAAAGCGTTCTCAAAATAGTATCTATGTTAAAATGCAGGCACATATCCTTCATTTTACCATAGACCTTCATTTTGCAATAAGTAGTTCTTGCTTTGTAAAGCCGGGTCCAGACGGGTGAAACGCGTAATGTAATGTATCGTGTAATGTAATGGAAATAGTATGGGCAGCACTTTGCATGTAATGCTCGTAGTTCGTAGTATCGTAGTGCACACGTAGAATTCGTGTTACATACATGTCGACCTGGCATAACAAGTTATAATTTATTTCAGATCATGACCACTCTATCATCGCCAGAATTCAGTCAACACGGCTGCGAAGCTATCCAACTGATCATGACTGACTACCCTGATTCCCTGAACAGAAAACAGCATTGCAGATCTGGTTTGTTATACAAGCAACGGTTTTACCAGAACTTCAAATCTCTTACCAGTACAGTCGGGCCAGTGGATGATGAGACAAAGCAATGTTATCTGCTGAGTTGGGCGTATGTACTCGAAAAGGTGCCGAAGACTGTACTTAATAGTGATGTTGGACAGGTAAGCGTTTCTAATTTTTGTATATTGTAAATTTTAATTTACATGCATGAATTTAATGGGGCAGCAAGGTTCTGGAATTTAGGCCGCGTACCGGAAAACGCAGCGTGGGACGTCCACCCATATGGTGGACCGACGACATCATAAAGGTAGCAGGGAAGCGCTGGACGCAGGCCAACATGGAAAGCATTGGGGGAGGCCTATGTTCAGCAGTGGACGTCCTATGGCTGAAATGATGATGATATTTTAATTTATCTAATGAAAGTAAGTGTTTGGTTCTGTCAGAGTCATCAAGACTACCACCATTCTTCCCGTGAATGTCATTAGGAAGAAATCGGGATATCAGGCCTGAATCCCAAAACCCGGTTGCCCCGCATATGGACTTATCGAATCCTCCATTTGCCTCTGGTGAATTGGAGAAGGTCGAGTTCTTGCAATGGAGACTAAATGACAATGATAAGCTTGTGTTCATGTTCAAATAACAACAGGTTTTTTCTGCTTTCAGATTGCACCATTAATAGTGGAGTCCCTAAATTACGACAATAAAGACTTGCTGCAAGTGATGCTAGATATTCTGTGCCATTTTGTACAAGACAAACACGACGTTGTGGCGCTTAGCTTACAGACTATTT